AAACAATTCTCACACAAACGAAACAAACGTGGACTATTTAATTTCATGAGTACAGCACAAAAATGGTGTATGGAACATTAGACTCAAATGACGGTTATAGATATGATTCTTACATTTATACGTTAAATGAGAATCAGAAAACTATCAATAAAAATCTAAAAGATCAAAGAAACGTACCTAAACAAGTAACGAAAAGATTTCACGATCAATTTTTAAATATCGGAAATAATTGAAATTAAATAAAATTGAGTCCCAAGTTGGGTTTAAAATTTGTAACTGAATTTTTTTAAAAATTGAAAAGTGAACTCATTTGATGGACGATAGTAAAAATCCGTGTTGAATTTATAAAAGGTTCAAATCCGGTTCGACCAAGGCCAAATAATTGAACCCGCTTTAACGTAATGTTTTACCTTCAATAGCTCAGTTTGGTAGAGAAAGAAATGAACCCGCAATAACAAAACGGCCTTTAAACCCCCTTACCTTGGATGTTCTCTCCGTGTGTCCAGTGGGCCGATCCTCGGGCCAGGGAGTAGATCTCCCCGATAGCACGAATGTTTTGTCCTTGTCAACGTAACCGAAAAGTAAATGTGAATGATAAAGACGAAAAATTTGTTCTCTCGGGGAGCTCTACTCCCTGGCCCGAGGATCGGCCACCAGCAGGCCCCCAATTCTTGAATTTCAGGGAGTAGAACTTTTGAGGGAAGTGGGCGTGGTTCTCTCAAAAATATAAATACCTTATTCTTGAAAAAATTATACGGGAGGGAGCGTCTCCCAAGAGAACTTGAAGTTCTCTCTCTAGAGACTGAGGGAAAAGCAAACCTAACCTTAGATTATGTTGTTTTTGTGGGATCTCGTTTTTGTTTGATGAGTTTGTTGTTGATATTTTTTTTGAAATTGAAGTTATTTAATTTAAATTATTATAAAATGGACATGGACGATTTTAATTTAATGCTGTGGAATGATATTATCAACGAGGATGTTGAGGAAGCAGTGGCAGAATTGGCTATTGGGAGGGATATTTTGCCTAAAGCAAATGCTTTCCAATTATCGGAAAGAAAATTTGTACAGCTATTCAGGGTAAATAAGGACCTCTGTCGTGAGATAATTGACATGGTCACCCCTTTTGTAGCCCAACCTACAAGAACCTCGGCCTTATCTATACAAACCAAGGTAAGTAAAAAAAATTGAAGCTTGTAGAAGAATGCTTATATGTGAGTTGCTACTAATTACGTTTTTAGAAACTTAATTTACAATGACTTGCAGGTTCTTGCTGCCCTGCGATTTTATGCTTCAGGCAGTTACCAGGAAATAACTGGATCTAACAGTTTTGTGGGGATTAGTCAGGCTTCAACCAGTCGAGCTTTGAATGAGGTTACAAATGCACTGAACCAACCTGAAATTTTAAATAATATCATAAGGTTCCCTCGAAATGTTGACGAGTTGCAGAATCTTCGAACTAGGTAAATAAATATCCATAACATAAAGATTTGTTTAATTTTATAATTTATAAAATTTTTGGTTAATTTTTTTTATTTCTATGTTTATTTTTTAGGTTTTATGAAAATTTTCAATTCCCTGGAGTTATTGGCTGTGTTGATTGTACACATGTGAGCATTGTTGCTCCACCTACTGAAGATGAGCATTTTCCTGAACATGTTTTTGTGAACAGAAAAAATTACCATTCACTCAATGTTCAACTGGTAAGTATTGAAAAAAAAAACAAGAAAATACCTATACAGTGTGCTCATGATAAAATAATTAAAGTTGGGGTTACCAAATTCTTTAATTCTTAATTTTTCTTCTTTAATCTTCGAAAACACCAATTAATAAATTGAACTTTTTAAGAATTAGGAATTAAGGACGACAACAATTAATAATTTAGGAATTGGGTAACTCTGACCTAAGATATGGGTATATTGGAAACCATATTCATGGACAGTCTTTATTCTGCTCCATGGGTATTTTTAGAAACTGTATTTCAGTTATTACAAATTCAGAAGAGTTTAACATATTATTATAGACCTTGAATGTTTTTGACGTCATTATTTTAATTTATGTCCAAAATTACCATATATACCAATGTAGGAAACTATTTTTTTATCAAGGCGCCATGTGACTGTAGAAAAAAAAAATTATTCTAGAGACCCCTGTATATTCATTTTTTTTTCAGGTTTGTGATAATAATCTCAGAATATTGAATGTTAACTCAAGATTCCCTGGATCCACCCATGATGCACATATTTGGAGAGAATCTGCAGTATCCAATTTAATGGAACGATTATATAGGAGGGACCCTGCAAATGTTTTTTTCTTGCTGGGCGATTCAGGTAGGATTTATCAAAAAGTAGAAGAAAAGGAAAATTAGTAAATTTTATGACTACATATTTTTATATTGAATATCATACCACTTAACTTAAATATTTTTGTATTTTAATTTTTAGGGTATCCTACTCGCCCTTGGTTGCTTACTCCTATTTTAAATCCACAAGATGTTGAACAACAAAGGTATAATGACAGATTATGTTCTATACGGTCCATCATTGAACGATGTAATGGCGTACTTAAAAACCGATTTAGGTGTTTATTAAGATACCGCACTTTACATTACCACCCAACAACAGCTGGAAAAATTGTGAATGCCTGTTGTGTTCTCCATAATTTATGTATAGAGAGAAATATTCCAGAACCAGATGAACCTCATATTGAAGAACCCGATTATGGAATGTACAATATCCAAAATGTTGTTCAGAACATGCCACGACAAATTAACCCTGATTTGGCAGCCGGAAGGGATTTGCAGCAGAACATCATCGCAAATCATTTTAATGAATAATTAAGTTACTATTTTAAGTTTTTTCGAGTTGATTTTTGTTAGTTTCTATATAGCCGTTGTGTTTTGTGATTTCTTTAAAGCCTTTGATTGCGTAAATCATAAAATAATGCTTAAAAAACTAGAAATTTATGGCTTCGGAGGAATCTCATACTCATGGTTTGAATCTTATTTCTCGGGAAGAAAACAATTTGTTAAGATTGGTGATACTCAGTCATCAAACTTGGCTGTGACCAATGGTGTTCCACAAGGATCTGTGTTGGGACCAATATTGTTTTTACTTTATTTAAATGATATTAATCACCTCCCCATTAGAGCTAAAATAACATCATTCGCTGATGACATTACTCTGTCCTGGAACGGAAAAAATATTGAAGAGTTGAAAAAGATTATTTCTGAAGACCTAAATCTTGTAAAGAGCTGGTGTGACTCTAACTTGCTTTGTTTTAACTCTAAGAAAACCAACATATTGACATTTAAATTTTTTTTTGATGATTTATTATTAGACACACACACAATTGAAAATAAAACTAGCTGTAAATTTCTTGGTGTTCATGTTGATACTCAACTTAAGTTTAATGAGCAGGTTACAAATCTAAACAAACGATTGGCAAGTGGTTGCTATGCTGTAAGAATAGCGTCAAATGAACTTGGTTTGAATACTGCTAAGTTGGTTTATTTCTCGTTGGTTGAATCTCATATCAGGTATGGCATTGCATTTTGGGGTAACTGTTCTAATAAATTGTTTGATTCTGTTTTTGTCATTCAAAAGAGAGCAGTGCGCTATTTGTGTAAGGTTGGATATTGGGAGCATTGCAAGCCACTATTTTTAAAGCATAAAATACAGTATGCTGTATATTTATCATGGAAACTGCTTGCCTTATGCACAAAAAACATTATGATGAGTTAGAATATCCAAGAACTTGTCCAACTAGGCAACTTCTTAAAATTCAGCTTCCTATACCCAAGACTGCATTGACGCAAAATTCACTAATTTATAAAAGTAGGCAAATTTTTAATCATCTGCCTGTTAACTTAAGGCAGATAGGTGGTTTTAAAAAGTTCAGACTAGAGCTCAAAACATTTTTACATGGAACAGCCTACTATCATATTAGTGAATTTTTAAATGAAAAATTTTAATTTTGTTTGTTTCATTGTTTTGTTTTGTTCTGACCGCAACCTTTATGTTTTTTCTGTATTGGCTGAACCTTCTATATGACTCTATAGTTTGATGTAGTAAAAATTGTACATGTATTGCTTAGGATTGTGCTTTGACATTTGTGTTTATGTTTATTTTTTATTTTATTGATTGTACCTCTTTTTTTTTATAACCCAATAATTTTTAATCACTTGCACATTATTTAAGATCATGCTTTGTCAATGAAATTTATTTTCTGACAATAAAGTATATTTTGATTGATTGATTGATAGGTGATATTTTCTTATTAGTTACCTTTATTTTTGTATGCATGAGTGAAATAAAATATTCCTAAGTAATGTGTTAAATATTTTATTTACCAATTGTTAATCTGAATTAAATTATCCTATAGTCTGTTTATAAAGTCTATAGACTTTTTCGAGTGCGTGATCTGAGATTTTGGACGCTGATTGGCTACATTTTGGGGCCTTGGGTTAATCGTTTAAATTGAGTGCTGGTTGCCCAAGTCGACCCCCTAATTTTGGCCAATCAGCGTCCAAAATTTCAGATCATGCACTCAAAAAAGTCTATAGACATTATGAGCAGATAAATGCTAAACATTCAGTGCTAAAACTTAATTGACATAGGTACCTTCCTATAAAGTAGGAAAAAACTCTTAAACAACAAAACATAAATACTTTTCTAATCATATCTTAAATTAAACAACAAAACATATATACTTTTCTAATATGTAATATCAAAAACATGAAAAAATATATTCATTTTTAACTATTAAGTATAACAGTCTCTCGAACAGTCTATAAATTAGGAAAAAAAAATCTTAAATCAAACAACAAAACATAAATACTTCTCTAATATGTTATATCAAAAACATGAGAAAATCTATACATATACCTATTTTTAACTATTAAGTATATAAATTGTTATACCCAATTATATTTTGGTAACCAGAGATCCTTGAAATGATTTTATCACTGAAAGAATACAGAGTCATTCCTAAGTTGACACAAATTTTAATTATTCCTTTGATGAAAAGGTTGCAGCTGAAATCTTGTTAACTGCATTTGAAATTTCAGTTAAAACAGTGATTTGCTTTTGATGAAATTTTTCCCTCTTCTCAAAAGCCTCGATTTTTTTTTTGATAATAATTGCTCTTCGTTTCATAGTGTTTTTCGAGTAATTTTAATTTTCGTTCCCGAAAGCTATTTGTAGAGACAATGCCTTTCTGACTTATGTCGAGGAACTTCTTGTTGTTCCTGAGGGAATCTGTCAATCTTGCTGATTTTGTATACCTTTTCACAACCTTCCCTTGGATCTCCTCCTTTTTAGCTCTAACAATTTTATCTGGTCTACTTATTTCGGGTGGAAGTTTAGTATAGTCGTGATAAAGTATTGGATTTTCTATATTCTCTGTTAATTCATCCTGCGTAGCATCTATTTCCTGAATGTCCATAAAATCAATTTCCTAAAATGCAGAAAAAAACAAGAACATTACATTTTTTAAAAAATGGTTTGTTGGCAATGGGGTTTCAACATTTTCCAGTATTGTATTAGGGCGAAAAAGATACTGAGTGACAATATTTACTAACAAAAATAATAGCTATTTAAGCATTTAATCAATAAATCTTTTAAAATCAGAATATACTGTTCTCAACCACAATAACAATTTTTCGTAAAACATTGAAAATATCACAATGATCTATAATAATTAGTTACTTGTAAATAATAAAATACAATGTACTCACATTGCTTTCAAAAGTCTGTTCTGTTTCTGCCAGTTCAGAACTCTCTTCAAATATAATCTCTGACTCGAGCACATCTTGATTTCCCTGGATTGCAACTGGAGTTATTATCTCATATATTTTTTCTTCAGTTGTTTTTTCAATTTCTTCCGGAGGGGGCAATGGAGGACCACCTCCTGTTCCTTGGCTGTATTGCTTTTCTTTGCTTATCCTGCTTTTAACATTTTTTTTAATATCTGTCCATGCCTGAAAGAAGTTAATAAGTGAAAGTAAGACCACAACTTACAATTAACTTACTGAATAAAAGAATAATTAAACCAAAAAAATTACCTTTCTCCACTGTTTCCAGTCCTTATTGGCTCCTCCAGGAACAGCATTCAAGTTGCAGGACACTTCCTTCCACAATGCTATGCTTATAGAATTTGTATAGGTGGAGGTTAATTTACCCCTATACATATCTGGTCGCGCGTACACAAAATCAACAAGAAGTTCCTTTTGTTTGGAACTTAATTGTTTTGTCTTATATTCCATTTTTCCTGGCCGGCTTTCCAATTATTCCATTAAAATATAAATTGAATATTTGAAGGCAACAAAAACAATAATAAACACAACAACAAAAGTGAGGTTATGTCAAGTCTGTCAAAATTTTCTGCAATTTCATTGGTTGAATAAACCGGCAACGCTGCTCCCCGATTTGGCTCCCTCCCTCATACTCCCCCATGAGTTTGATTTTTCAAGAATACTACATTTTGCTATGGGGGAGCTCGAACGAGGGAACACTCCCTGGGAGCTCCCAGGGACCACTCCCTTCTCTTGCTTTCAAGAATAAGCGACCTGGAGGAAAGCGCTCCCCTCCCCGAGTGTCGTGTAGGGTACTGGTTTTCTGCCGAAACGGTATAATCATAATGAAAGTCTCATAACACCCAAGATGTAAAAACTAAAACGTGGTATCGGTTTGAACTTCGAAAATTCGCAAATACAAAAAAAAGGTTGAGTCTTTCGGTCGCGCGTGTCGCTCGCCTCTTCGTTCTTGATACTGTCTGGTTCCTTTCCAAAATAGGTACCTATTTTCTTCCGGGTACCTATGAAGCAGGGTTTAAAGGAGGCCATACACGCATGGATTAGAAATTATTTTTGAGATAAACTTAAGCTATTGACAGATATTGAAAGTGAAGTAATTAGAAATTATAGAAGTGAATTTAAAAATTTTAATTAGTAAAACAAAAAATTGGAAACACACAAGTGTGAACGGACCAGTATTTCTCAATAGCAACTCACTTGACGCTTTAGACATACTTATTCGAAGGACGTTTTTTATATTTTTAACTTGAATTAAAAAGGATCACATCATGTCAAAATTTAAAAAAAATATTGTGTGGAACACTATTTTTCGTAACTTGCTTCCTTTTGCAGGAATCCGTCCGTTACGAAAAAAAGTACTTTTCCTAACTAGTTACGCAAATCACTATTTTATAGTTATTGGTTACAATTTTAGTGAAACTATTCATTCAGCTGTTTGGCCGAGAGTTGATGTATGCTCAAATCTTGGGAACAAACGGCCTGCTGACGCAAGCATCAGTAGAATTAGCATGTCATATAATGCTTACTTTCTATTTTTTTATAAAAAAAACGGTATTTTTTTTCCTTTGCAGAAGTTCCAAAGTTCACCACTCCTGTTGCAAACATTACAGTTGCGTTAGGCAGGGAAGCAGTTTTTGAATGTGGAATTGACAATTTGTCAATTTTTAAGGTAAGCAATATTTTAGCTGAAGCATTATTTAGTGCTACAATATACTAATAGTATACAGGCTAGTCCAACAAGCTCGCCTCGGTCAATAGTAGCCAAACCGTTGAATTTATGGAAAAATGTTCTGTATAAAAGTTTTGGAATTTGATCTCTGCTATGACCCAAAATTATTTTCAAGCATACAGGTTGTCTCAAAAAAGAGTAATCACAAATTTTATGTTTTTTTCAAATGGAATACCGTATGTTTTTGTGTGGCAAATGAAGCCTCTATTTGCTCTGTATTCAATTTTAAAATCGTATTTGGGTTGAATGCAGCGTTGCCAAGTTATGATTTTTCGAAGAAAAAAATAGACCAAAACATACTTTTTTCTATTTTGGTGTCATATCGAAGTCTTTTCGACACTAAAAGTAGTTTCGAAAAGAAGCTCTTTGTGACACTCCTTTTTTACTTATCGGAGGTTAGTAACACTGGCTGACTGATGGCCATCGAACTGTCATTCGCGATTTTATAATAGAAGATTTCTATATTTCGCATGTAGTGTGACCAACCTAAACATATGAAATCAGGAAATATGAGAATAAAATTTCCAAAAAAAAAAATTGTTTTCTAAAATTAAACAATTCCTACCAAAATAGAAAAAATAGTATAAAATATTCGTTCCATAAGACATTTTATGAAACTTGTATTTTAATGTACTATTTTGAAATTGTCGTATCTCCGCCACTGTACATTAATTTCCCTTGAAAATTTACATGTAATTTAATGTTAGCCTAGTTGCTCCTACATTATCTTCATTTTTCGATTTAAGTATACAGGGTGTCCAAAATAGCTTAGACGTTTTCTTTCCGATTTTCTACTTTGCCACCTCGTATTTTTGCCGCTCGCGCCGCCCTATTTAAAAATTTCGCTAAAAAAACAGGTTTTTCTCAATATCTCCTTTCTTTCTCATTAACATGAAAATATAGTTAGTTGATAACTAAATTAAACTAGAGAAAATTTTCCTATAATTAACCTTTTTATTCTGTAAAATGAATAGTTTCAGCGTACGAGTGCGACAAACCAACATACAGCTACACCAACACGTGTTTGTCGTATATTATCGTTTATTTCGCCACATACTTAAGAACCGGTTTACTAGGGTCTGTTCTTCCTTCGGGGAACGTACTGCCATGGCGTGGAGCCCCCCTCTCTCCCTTCTAAAGTCTATTTTTTTTTAAGCTAATTCCCCAAGTCAAAAATCTAGCAACACAAGCCTTTTCTACATGAAAAATTTAAAAGCATTGACAAGTTTACATTGTATTGCCAACATAATATCATTTTGACTTTTATCTTTAAAAAAAAAACACTTTACGAGCCATCTGCTGGCGGAGTTCAAGTATTTTGTTCGAATCATCAGTACCTATACCTACATGTTTATTGTTCTAGTATCGTTTGTATTTTTCTAGTCGTAATTTCTAAGGAAATAAACTATTTTATTTATGAAGATTCATTGCAAGGAAATGAAGTAAAGGGTTATCTTATTTTTTCGCAAGTCAATTGCTCAAAAAAAAAAAACAACAAAAGTAAACTCTTGGACAGACTAATATTGATAGTGGTAGATGTATGTCGAAAACGATATAATAACGAGAAATCAATTGCCGCATTTTTACGTATAGAAAGCGATGGTGTCATTTCTCTTCTCAACTGCGATCCACGTAGCAAATATTCTCATTCAGAGGTTCAGAGATCAGTTGTTTTTTTGTTGCTGCTGAGATATCAGCAGTTACTGACGGAAGCCTAGTACTACCACAATAAATCGACAACGGAGCTGTTAATCCCATCGAGGAAGATGTGGAAGAAACTATCTGTAGCGATTCGATCAGGTTCTGAAGACGATATCGATAAACCCGCCACACCTAGTCCATCAAGAATAGTGAAGCGATGGAGAATGCGCTAAATATTGTAATAATCTATTGCATGTGGATTACGCCTACTGGGGATACCACAATAAAAAAAACCGCGCCACTTACTCTACCTCATGGTGGTGTGGAAATGAGTTTTTTGGCCAAAACGCATGTTGAGTCGACTTTGCAGCACGCGCACACTAAAACTAGGTATTCATTTTCACTTCCCTCGGTAAAAGGAAGTATTTGTCTCAACCTAGAACATTAGAACAAAGATCTTTGGCATACACTTTGAACCCTTACCGGCGGCGCTAATGTAAGGATTTTTGTTCGCAGATCTACACGGTGTTCCAAAAACCATGCGACACTAACAAGAACGGTTAATAATACGGAGTTGGTTACATTAGCAAGAAGGTACTGTTCTTGAAACTCACTAAAGCTACGTTTTTGTTTTTGTCGGTTTTTTTATTCCTTTTCAAGATATAAGGCCCTTTGTGTTCAAACATATTTGGTCGTATATTTCCGAAACTACTAATTTCAGAAGAATCGTTCAAATTTGAACGTTTCCTAGGTTCATCGGCTCTACACAATTGGGACCTGAAAGTTTCAATCCGACGTTTCGCTTTCGGTGTGTCATCATCAACTTTCTATTTTTAAATACTGAGTTAGGATTTTTATTTTATTTTTCAATAATAAAAAAAAAACAATTGAATGATGTTTATTCAGAAAAGGGTGGGGTGGTTTGCCGAGGAAAGTCATAGGTAGAGGCCTTTACCAATTTTTATAACTATTTTTATATTAATGAGAAGGAAAGGAGATATTGTGAAAAACCTGTTTTTTTGGAGAAATTTTTCAATATGGCGACGCGAGCAGTAAAAATACAAGATGGCAAAGTAGAAATTCGGAAAGGACACGTCTAAGCCTATAAAATTTGCAAAACTCCCGAAAAACTTTCCAGGTAAAACTACCAAATTACTATACTTTTCACCGTTTTTTGTGCAAGGTTAAGGGAAAATCTTAATATCTGAAAATATTAATGAGATAGATACGGAAATATGATATTTTCTGAAAGACGACATTTTCAGCTTTTCGATAGAAAAATAATATACTGGATTTTGTATTTGAAAAACTCATTTAAAATGGACTTGAAAATTGACGTGTTTAGACAAATATTTTGGACACCCTGTATACTTAAATTGAAAAATGAACATAATTTAGGAGTAACTAGGCTAACATTAAATTACATGTAAATTTTCAAGGGAAATTAATGTACAGTGGCGGAGATATGACAATTTTAAAAAAGTATGTTTTGGTCTATTTTTTTCTTCGAAAAATCATAACTTGGCAACGCTGCATTCAACCCAAATACGATTTTAAAGTTGAATACAGAGCAAATAGAGGCTTCATTTGCCACACAAAAACATACCTGTTAATGCAACTTTGTTATTTTATATATTCATTCAAAAATTACAAAAGAAAAAACCGTTAAATGCCATACAAGCTCAAATCAAAATTGGCACCGCTCGCGCAGACTCGGCGTATGTGAAAAATATGTGATTTATGAGAAGGAAGCGGGAGGCAGTACGAAGCCGTGTCTCTTAAACCACGTCCTCTTTTTCGGTCGTTATCAAAAATCAAAAAACCTTATTATTATTCCTAAGGCTGTGTTGTATTGGTGTGTCGCTGAGAAGCAGACTTTCTGGACACGAGGAGCTCCTCTGGATCGACGAAAACCAGCATAAACCAAGTAAGTGCCAATCCTCCATTGTCTTTGTATGGCTCGGGTTTATGTCCATTAATATTTGTGCGGTAAAATTGAATTTAGCGCCTACAGTCCCGCTGCTCTATAAACTTTCGAAAAACCTAACGCAAATTTTCGTGAACATTATTTGGTCCTTCGAGCCGGATTAATTTCAAAAAAGAAATAATTTTGGTCTCGCGAATATTAATAAAATATCATTTCAATTTTTTATCGTCATTTTCAAATTTCAAATAGTCAAGGTTCAAGCTAGGTGTCGTCCGCGCTGTCCGATTCGTCCGCGCTCCTTTCAACTCATGTCTCACACTATCCAATTTTCGGTACACAGTTTGTTTACGTTTACCTTTAAATTCCTTAGTAAGAAAAAACAAGATTCCATTTATTTTGTTTTTTGCAAGAATAAATTCAACACAGGGGCTTGCTTTGCTTATAGAATCAAAGGTGCATATTTAAATAATTCAATAATTCAACAATTCAAATCTTTTATTCGGTTATCGCGTACGTAAAACAAATTAAGGAAAAATTAGTGCTGTGTTTTTGAGTGTACTTTTGTGCATTTGTTTGGGATTAATAATAGCTAAAAGGTAATAATTTTTATTTCTATATTCAAAAGGAAAAAATCAATTCTTAGCAAATAAACAATCTACTCAGAGTATTCAACTTAATTTATTTATATTTATAATTGTACAAAATGGCAACAAAAAAGTTAACAAACCAACGAAAAGTATCAATCGCTCGTATTATAGAAACTTTCAACTTAGCAATTAAATCTCAAAGCGATGATACTGTAAAGCTAGTTTTTAAAGCGTCCTATGAATCACTAGATGATCACTATGATTCCGGTTTCACTCCCTCGATTGTAAACAATTCATATAGAGATGAACTAGAACCATTAAAAATACCGACCTTCAACGGAAACCTCAAGAAATGGCCAACGTTTTTTGATGTTTTCACGTCACTTGTTCATGATAATACAAACTATTCAGATATCAAAAAATTTCAACATTTACTTTCATGTTTAGAGGGCGAACCATTAAATATTCTTAACTCAATCAAATTAACATCCAGCAATTACGATATTGCATGGAATGCACTAACCGAAAGCTATCAAAACAAACGACTTTTGGCTAGCACACACAAGGACTGCTTACGAGTTAAAGTTTAGCACTACCGAAATTCCAACCTACCAAAATCTGATCCAATTTCTTACTAACCAGTGCAAAGCCCTAGAAACAATGCAAACCATCCCACAGAGCGAAAATATGCAACCCTCGACATCAATACAAATTCCAAAAAATAACAATTCAAACTATCAGTTCAAAAAGAATAATTCCTATTCCCAAAACCAGTACAAATCGAA